TCTTTAACCAAAAGCGCCTAACACTCATAATACAAAGGTATAAAATTTCAAAGGCAGTTTAAGTAACTGGAGATTTAACTTTTATATTATTATTATTATTAGAGCTAATACTAGAGTCCTTAATAGTACAAAGTAGACCAAATAAGCTGTAGACTTACATCACTGGTATTACACTAAATATAAAAATTTTGATAAAATTTGCATTTCAACAATCTGAGCAGGAGTTAGAATTGGGTTCAATTTTTTAAGGCTGCTAAGACTTCTCATATGATGTGGGTGCAGTGATTGTATTTGTATCGTCCTTGGCAATTAATCTCAAGTTTGTGCAAATGCCCTTGTCAAAAGATCAAACAGCCCTTTAAAATAAATATTATATATTTTCGCTCACCTATTCTGTACGTGAATGCCAAGATTATAGTCTCCCGCTCCCAGTATAGGTTTTGAGGACTCAAACTGCCCTTCAAAATAAATATAATCATTTTTCGCTCACCTATTCTGTAATCTTGAATGTCAAGATTGTACTTTTTTTCTCCCAACTTAAAGCCTGCAAAATGAGTTATAGAAACGTACTTATTTAATTTCCCTTTAGATTCAAAACTCTGCCAGCATTCTCCTTTAGCAGCAGGTTATCAACATCCCTCTTCAAATTCACATGCGGCTTACTGGCGCATCAATATGGTCTGCTATTTACACAAGAGTCTAGCTGTTCTCTGACCTTCCTCCACTCTTTCTACTTCATCCTAATATTACATAAGTATTGCAACAGCCTTTGAGATGCCCTGTTTGTACAACCTTACATCTTGGAGCACCTATTTATAAGTAGAAGTAAGCACAAATTTTCAACTTTCAAACCCAAGGCATTGCATCGTCTCTTTCTTTGTTACTGTATCTCATTAAAATGAGTGGAGTATAGTTTGACTTTAATGATTTAGATGATAAATCAAATGCGATGATGCCTGTACATCCATATACCGCTGTATTGAGTCTATCGACACAATTAAGACGCTCATGAACACCTTGGTTATCTCTCATTGATCCTACAAGATGAGAAAATGGACAAAAATATAGTGTGAGCTCTCAAGACCACAAACTTTTGAATCCTTAAAAGTCATCCATCAGATTTTGTTGATAAGGGAGCCACCCATTTTCCCCTTTGAGGATTTGGTTTAAGGGATTAATAAACCTAGTCCTGTTATCAAGCTGTTAGGAGTTTGACCTCACTAGTTACCACTTGCCAGGCTATTTGTTTCTTAGTCGAGTCTGGCTGTCTTCCAGCCGTGGAATCTAGTTGTGGAACTCTCTTCATGTAGCAACATTGTTATGTCAATATTTATTAAACAATTACTTATATTTCGCTCGAGAAGATGGATATCTTGGAAGTCCCCAATTGCCAATTGAAATTGATCTACAGGAACTCTTGCTGGTTGGATTCTTTATAACAACTCTTGTCCATGGTTTTTTATTCGGTTACATGCCCTCTTCCTTTGCCCTTTCTCTCTTGTATTCTGCAGTCAAATATGATTGACCTTGGCTATTTCTCACGTTGAGTATCATTATCGTCAAATAAAGTCTTTGTCTTGCCAAGAGTTCATTATATTCTTTTTGAAATCTTCAGGATCTTAATCTCTCCTTCATGAACAGAATCAATGTCAATCTCTTCATCAGAAGTATTCAATTCGTTGTCACATACTCACATGTAGTCATGCAAAAATAGCACCATGACCAAAATAGCCATGAGGATAGCAGGGGTCTTTATTCTTTAAGCTTTTCTAATCAGAACTATACTACGCAGCAATGGTTTAATGTGTATAAGACGCCCCTGACAAAATCCTAAATATATAATTTAGGGCAAGGTTCTTATGTATGGCAGTATGGGAACAAAATTTGACTTCAGTGATCAAGTGAGACACACGCCTATTGCGATTATTTACTGCCTGGAATATATAATACAAAGTATTTGACTATACTTCCTTTTTTTGCATTTTCCAGTGTGCTAATGCGCAATTGTTCTTATCATCTTGGAAAGAAATCTTAAGCTAAATTAATTTCTTCCAAGTTCCTAAGTTTAACATCTCAAAACTATCTCAAATTTAAGAGAGAATTAATTACTGCTAATTTATTCTTTTGGGGTGGGGACTTAGGTATCAAGTCTGCTTTATGTAGTGGTAAATTTTCCCTCAAAAATAAAAATAAAAAATGTAGTCGTAAATCTGTTTTGCCATGGTCTTGTGCTTTTCTATGTTGAAACTTTATGATGTATACAGTACTGTTTTCTGCATTTTGACATTCTATACTTGTGATTTTTTTTTTTTTTTTTTTTTTTTTTTTTTTTTTTTTTTTGTATCAATTGATTTTGTGATCTTGTAATTATTATGTTCTTTCAGTTAGCAAGTCCTTTACATAATTGAATTGCCTAAGTTTTGGTTGTATGATTTTCCAGGACATGGACGGAGTGTTGCAGTGATGTGTGCATTACTGGTGGCTTTAGGAGCGGTGGACAATTGGAAAGATGCGGAGAAAATGATTCAAGAAAAACGACCTTATATCAGAATGAATTCTCTCCATCGAAAAGCCTTGGGAGAATGGGCACAGCATCGATTATCTCCAATGAAAAGGAAGAATGAATCAGATGTGAGTTCTGTCATCATGTCAAATTCTTTGGGAAGAAAGTAGTTGTACATTGAGAAAACACTTTATATCTTCAGTACTGTGGCTTTTCTTGGACCCAACTATTCCAGGAGAAACTCCACAAACTAAACCCCTCTTGCTTAAATTTGTCAATAGCAATAGAAATTAATCCTAGTGGAAACAGCTTGTGAAATATCGTTCTTCTACGCTAATTTTGTTTTGCTAAAATTATTTACTGTGTCTCCTTTTTATTGTCATACTGCATATTAGGAATCTGCATAGTTTCCAATGTAATGTTGTAGTTACGCTAGCCTTGTTTGTCGGTAGCGTTTAATTTATTGGTTAACTCAATATGCTATTTTTAGCATTTGGGTAGTTTTTTCTCAAACGTTAAAAAATAGGATATTTTAAATTTTAAAACCAGATAAAAATTCGAAAATGGTTTTTAACACCCCATAAAAAATAAAAAATAAATAATTTTAACACCAAACAAATGTTACAAAAATGGTTTTTACCACCACTTAACTGATTTTGTTTAGGAATCCGTTAAATGGGGCCATGAAGCCATGTGTCACTTTATTATTGGCCAAGAAAAGAAAAAAATTTTAAAAAATAAAAATAAAATAAAATAAAAACCTAAAACTACCCGGCCACCCTAGCCCGTAGCCCCACCACTGCCACCTTCTTCTTCACCTTAACCCACAGTCGCCGACGCACCACCTCCCCCTCCCTCACCGACCGACCTAAACCCATCCCCACCCTTTTCTCGCAGCCCTAAACCCAACAATCGAATTTCGATTTGCTTTGATTTTATGGTTGTTGCTCCAAGAATGGCCACGAATTCGGCTATTGATGGACAAAATCGGCCGGTTAAGGACACTCGGCCCCAACATTGGCCGATTTCGTCGTTATTTTTGGGGAAGGAGGGTTGCGGTTTGGGCGTTTGGCAGTGCTATTGGCGGTGTTAAGGGCGGTTTAGGGCAGGGGAAAGGGAGGGTAACACAGAGGGGGAGTGGATGCGCCGGCGGCCGTGCTAAGTGAGGGTGGAGAAGAAGGTGGAGGTGGTGGGGCTGGGGTGGATGGGTAGTTTTAGGAATTTTATTTTTATTTTTTCTTTTTTTTTTAATTTTTATTTAAAAACAAGTAAAATGGTGACACGTGTCACTGTGGACCCCACTTAATGGAATTTTGGACGGAGACCGTTAAGTGGTAGTAAAAACCATTACCCAACATTTGTCTGGTGTTAAATTTTTTTTTTTTTTTTTTTTTTTTTTTTTGGGATGTTAAAAACCATTTTCGGGTTTTAGTCTGGTGTTAAAATCTAAAATATCCTAAAAAAAAAGGAGTGTTATTGTTGGTTTGTTACAAAGGTAATGGCCTAATGAAGTAACGAGTAATGTTTGTGAAATTTTGGTTATTTTTAAAGTTTTAAACAATATCTACGGGTTTTATTGTATTTTAATATTTCAAGCTTTATTTTTGCTAAACACTTATACTATTAACTGTTATTTTAACAATTAACCTCTACCCATTATTAATTGACAATGACTGGCTACTCGACCGTCAAAAGTTAGTTACCACTAGTTTTTGCCGAATAGGGTTATATCTTTAGTGCAAAAATATTAAAATTTAATGTTTGGAAACTAAAAATTAAGAGAAATCTTTACGGCCATTTTCGAAAATAAAATACCCTTTATTTTTTTTATTTTTTATTTTTAATTACTAGTTTTTGCCGCGCTATACCGTAGATTGTTTTTGTTAATCAAAGTAAATTAAGGTGTTTATATAGTTGATAAATTTATTGAACTTAAAAATGGCGTAACACTTTATTTGCATACTATTTGGAAGTTTAAAATTGGGAGGAAAAAGTAAAGGGATTTAACTGCATATGACACATGCAAATTTGCAACAAGGACGGATTAACTATGTGACGTAAATCTGGATAATTTGCATAGTATTTATTTTTCGTGTATTTGCTAACAGGGTAAATAAAGATGTTTACTATAACTAAAAAATTCATTTAGGGGTTGTTTGGTTACACAAAGAAAATGGGAAAAGTAGAAAATATGAGAATTTGAAAATGAAGGAGTTGTTTGGTTGACAATAAAAAGTGTAAATGAGGGAATTGCAAATTCAGGGGAATTGTGACTTACCACAAAACATGAGAAGTTAATTACCCAACCCCTCACCCCCTAGATAAATCAAAATTCCCATGATTTACAACTTACTTCATTCTAACCAAATAAATTTATGCAATTCTCGTGAATTTGATGTAGTGGTTTAATTCCCATAAAATACAAATTCCTATGGGAAATAAATTCCCATAACAACTAAACGACACATTAACTTGAAAAATAACAACAATCTACAAGTTTAATAACAAAGTAAAAAGTACAGGAATTAGTAAAAGCATTCTAGTAGCGAATGTATTACAAAGGAATCAATTAAAATGTCAATTAAAAATTATTTATATTTTTGCAGCCAATCATAACTATATGTACACACTACCCAAGATTATAACAAACTATGCCTATGTCAAAGAGCTAAGTTCTCATGAGCTGACTCACTCAGTGAAGGCTTACAACAGCATAACACACAAATTTTACAGCTAATTGTCATATCCTTGTGAAAGAACCAAGTCCAAGTCCGTCAAATGCAATCATTCAATGATGGCTTAAATTAACATTTATTTTCTTAAGTACGCCAAATTGCCAATCATGAGCCTTAAACCCTCCAACCGTGTTATAAACATCGATTCGGTTCACATTCTCCCCATTCACCTGCACATCAAACACCCTTTGTCCAGCCTTAGTAACCTTATCAATCTCAAATTATCCAATCAATCAACATCAACATAACCCAAATTCGTGTTAATCTCCAAGAAATAATCCTTCAACCCAAGATGATCTAGTATGGTCTCGACGAAGAACATATTTGTGTCACTTACAATTCTCAAATCACACCTACACGTAAATAAACATTCAAAATTTAGTCATAACATCAATAATTTTAAAAGCATATCACCTATCAAGTATTATCAATGTGACTATAAATTCCATACCAAGAAAACATAAACAAGAGAAATTGAAATTACCCTGCAGCATGGGCAGCTTTGATTGCAGATCGTCAATGAAATCAGATCCTTGCCCATAGTTGATGAAAAGACCCATTAGCTGTTCTTCAGCCACCTACAAAAACAATGTTAGATCTTGTTGATTTTTGTGATATTAAATCATGTCGTCTGGTTTCTTTGACTCGCACAATTTTATTCATCCATATAACTTATAGCAAATTTTATTTATCCTAATAACTAATACCAAGTAATTCAAAATATGGAATCTAATACTCATGATGATGGACTTTTTTGTACAAGTATCACTCTAGTCATCATACAATCAAGTAAAGACAAAGAAGAATACCAGTCCCAGTATTTTGAGATAATCAAATTTCTCAGCCATATTTCTATTAAGGGTGATTTAATAGAACAATAAAAATGGCTGTGCATCTGTTTAACATACCTTTTTCTTTCAAGAAAACAAGAAATTACTAATTTATTATATAAATATCAAAAAGAAAACTAAACAGATCAGTTCATAATCACCAAGTAAATTGCTAATATCATCACTTCAATCATTATCTAATATGGCATTAACCATCTGATCGAACTATCCTACAACCTTTTCTTGTTCATTCTCTACATAATCTACAATGTCCATGTCAAACCTAATTACATCCTACCAAAACCCCAATGGCTGTGATCCCACAAATTCCCTTCATTTTTTTCTCAACACCCCACAACTTATCTATCTTGAAAAATGCAAGTTGAAGCCATTAGATAACTTAAATGTTACCCATTTCCTTGAATTTTAACCACAATAAAAAGAAACCCTTAATTGAAAATATTGACATTGTGAAATCAAATACAAAAGAAATATAATAGAAAACTGACTTACTGACATCTTTCAATTGTAGAGTTGCTCGATTTTACATCGATCATAGGCTTGGAATCCTTGAGTTGGCCTAAAAAATCTGGAAATCCATGAGCAATAATCCGACCAAGGACGCTGAAAAATGGATCATCAAAAAAATAAATTAAGTGAAATTGATAATAATTACTATGGAATAATCGATATATTACATTAATCTTATCAATTCAACCAAATTAAAAAAACACACAATGGTGGAGACCGAAATTCATAAAATCGAATGAACCCTAGAATTAGCTAAACTGAAATACGATTTAACGAAAAACCCTAGATTACGTAAAAAAAAAAAACTTACCTAGAAGCCGCTTCAATGGTGGAGACCGAAATATAATACATACCAGCCTAATCAGAAACAAAACTCATGAGCGACTTCACTGGAGTACTTTGTGATGTGATCAGAGGAGTAAGTTGTAGAGAAGAATAATTAAAAGAGATTAAACACTCAAGTCTGGGCACAATTTAGTTTAGAGACGGAAGAAAGAGAGATTGAGAGGTGAGGAGGAGAGAGAGAGAAAATCCATTTTTTTTTTGAGTCCTTCTCCCTAGATAACGTTGGGAAGTTAAATATGAGGGAGCCCAATTAATTTCAGAGATTAACTATTCTATTTTATCTCAACTTTATGCATGAATTTTTGTACCCCTTTAATATTTTACTTTTATTATTTAAAAAATAAAATAAAATGATTAGATTGTGAGATGAGATATATTCACAGATTTATGTCAGAGAGAAACTTGAATTTACCCATTAAATACAGCCAATCTTTTTTTAATTTCCAATCTACCGTCCATGTTAGCTAAAGGAAAAAAAACCGGTTTTTTTTTTAATCGGTCCAGCAACAAACCGCTACTTCAAGTAGCAGTTTCAATTTCATACACCACTACTTCAAGCCGCTACTTCAAGTAGCAGTTTATAAAATAGAAACTGCTACTTGGAGTAGCGGTTTATAAAATAGAAACCGCTACTTGAAGTAGCGGTTTGTTGCTGTAATTTTTTTTTAAAAAAACCTATCAGTAAAATATAAGGAGAAGGGGAAAGTGATTTTTGACCACCACCCACAATATAAAATAAAAAAAATGTGCAGGCATCGATTTCTAGCTCTCTACCACCAATTGTTCATGTACTCCAAAATCTGGAAACATAGATAATTTGATACCCCGAAAAAAAAATCACAAAATTAATAAAAAAAAAAACTTAGAATTGTATAAATTAATCCAGAAGATACGAATTGAGCAAGTACCTAAAAAAAACCCAAAAGAATTGCAAGTTCAATCGCCAACAGTGGAACTAAATTGAAATAAAATCAAATTAAACCCAAGTAAGCAAAGCATTTAACATGAAAAATTAGACCAAAAGGCCAAAAAATAAAGCAAAGTTAAATAACCCAGAAACCCTAGCTAACCTCGAATTTCTGATTTTTGGTTCGAAATTGTTTGAATTTGTTGTCGCTTGAATTATTGCATGAAAAACTATAAAATTGGCTCAAAATCAGGTGCGGTATTTTTCGATTTTGCTCACAAACTGTCTACCTTGACACCACCACCATCACAACCCAGTACCGTCTACCTTAACCACCACCACCACAACCCAGTAACCCCAACTTAACCCACCCAAACCAAACCAAGATCTACAACCCTAACCAAACAACCACCCAAAAATTAACCAAAAAAAAAAAAAAAAACCTTCCTTAAGACCGAAATTGGATGTTAATTTCTCATCGAATTTGGATTAATACGGACAAATTAGATCATGAAACCTCTAGATCTAGAGGTTTCATGGTCGAATTTGACCTGAATAACCATGCGTAGGTTGCGTAGTGGCGGTGGTGTTGGTGGTGTTGGTTGCGCAGCGGCGTGGGTTTTGTTGTTGGTGTAAGAAGGAGAAGAGAGGAGAAGTGAGAAGGAGGGAGGAGAGAGAAGGAAAGAGGAGAGCAGTTCAGAGAGAAGAGGAAAGAGGAGAGGAGAGGAGAGAGAAAGAGAGGTGAGGCGTAGAGAGAGAAGAGGAGAGGAGAGGAGAAGAGGGGAAAGTGAATTTGTATCAAAGTGAAAGGAGGTCACGTGCTATCTTGATTAGTTGAATGAAATGATCAGCCATTACCTCCCATGTTTAGTAGAATGTAAAAAACTTAGTAAATATAAACGCTACTTGAAATAGCGGTTTCTAATGAGAAAACTGCTACTTGAAGTAGCGGTTTGTAAAAAAAAAACCGGTTTAAAAAAATTTCCCACTGAACCGGTGACGTGGACGGTATAGTTGGAATAAAAAAGAAGTGGCTGTATTTTGGGAATTAGAGAAATTCTCAACATTATTTAGGGAAAGCATTCTTTTTTTGAAAGAAAAATAGCAGTAGTAGGCAGTAGCAAATCAGTGGTGCAAAATCGAGAAAAGGTAGAAAAAACAAATCAGCAAATGTTAGCTAAGGGCAAAGAAGTAATTGGACTTTTTTATAGGCTTAAATTGAGGGTAAATTAGTCCTCACACTATTCCTAAGGAGGTCATTTGGCTTTTATTTAAAGAGTTATAGATTTTTTATTTTTTTTTTAAGTTTTACACTTTGACTGTCACATACTTTAGGTAACTTAATTTATAATTTACTTGAATGAATATCATAAGAAGTAAGTGGGGTAGTTAGAATTAAAAATTATAAAAGAAATATATTGGGATTAATAGTTTATTGATCAGTATAGGATGCGAGAGAAAGTCATAACAAAAAAAATACTTAGTAATAGTGGGTTTAGGTGAGGATTATGAGAGGAGAGATATAATATAAATGTAGATTTCAAAACCGAACAAACTCATTCCTTAAACCAAACACGCGCAAACTATCCGGAAACTTCTGCAAAACCCTCGCCTTAGCCTCCAATCAAACCCAGAGCCAAGCAAGGTGCATGTGATGCACGTTAGTGCATCGTGCACTGTAAGTGCCTATGATTTGCAGACGCTAGCACTTTCAGTGCTCTATGCACAAGCCATGCGATAGGCGCACGTCTTTGTGGTGGCTCGCCTGCAGCCTGATTTGCCTTAGCTTTATTCCACTAAATACCCCCTTATTTGCCTCATTTTAGGGAGTCAAAAAATGTTAAGCTTATAAAAACTCTGCCAAAATTCAAGCTCATAAACTAATTAAGCACAAAAAACCTAGATTAATCACTAATTAATCTTAATGACAAAACTAAACACATCCTAAACATTGGATTTGAAGCATAAAAGGAGCTCATTCTCAAAGTCTCCGTAGGCCTAAGCAAAGCTGGTAAATATCTATGTCCCTCCTCCTTTCATCTCGTAGAAGTTGCAAAGAACATGGACTCCATTACCAGAAATTTCTTTTGGAGATAAATAAGGACAACTCCTCATTTCATGGATGAGGTGTATAAACCAAAGAACTTCGAGGTTTTAGGATTGCGTCGTACGTTGCTTCTTAATAAAGCTTTTAAAGCGAAGCTGGGGTGAAAGTAATCTCGGATTTGATCAACCTTTGGGTTCATTCTAAGTATTAGCGATAAGTACCCACATACCACTTCTTTTTTTCAATACACATCAATACAAAAGACTCCCCCACATTTAATTTGGAGAAAGATTCTAGCATAACGAGATATTTTTAGAAATGGTTACATTGGAAAATTGATGATTCTTTTTATTGACAATTGGGTCACATATTAAAGCTTACTTGAACTTCTTCATATAGACCCCAACCTTGTCAACTTAGTCACCAAAGTGTATGATTTCATCTCCGATCCGAAAAAATCTATGCGATGGATAGAAGCTTCGAGCTAATACTCTTCCTAATGATGATGTCTCTTAAATTGCCCCCTCTTCCCGATAAAGATAGATGGATAGGAGCCCCTTCCTCTTTTTCGAGAAGCGGTCCCGACTTCACTACTTTCCTGTTATGGATTCCCCTACTCTCTAACTCGACGAGAGATACTCAAGTAGTGTGAGGTCTTACTCCACTCGAGAACTTCTTAGTCTAATCAACCACATGGCTAGCACATGTTCTTGATTTATTAAATACCAACGAATAAATGGCCTCATTGTTGGATTTGGAAATTAGATATTCCCCAAAATTTCAGATCTTCCTATGACAAATCTTGCATAATAGTATAATTAGTACCCGTAATATTCTCCACAAACGGTATATATCCCCTTCGAAATTGTAGAAATAAGTCAAATGAGACAATTAACCATCACTTCCTTACGTGTTCTTTTACTAAAGACGTTTGAAAACTTACTTTAATTTGGTAAAACAATGGTTATATTGTACCATTCCTTACACTGATCTAACTATAGCAGTAATGAACATTACCTTCCAATAAGATTATACCAATTTAAAACAAAGTTCATCTTCCTCATCTGGAATAATTGGAAAGAGCGAAACTCCATTACCTTACGATAAGACACATTTGGTATCCCCAAAATTTACCATCTGGTGCATACTGCGTTCAACGAGTGGCATAATAGAATTCTCATAGATTATTTATTTTTCTCCTCGGGGTCTCCTATCCAAAGAATCCCCTCCACTCCTTCTACCCACCCTCCTTCATCTAGAACTTGGGAGGCACCACCTCTCAACTTCAATGGCTCGGTTCTCAACAACATAGTAGCAATAGGATTCATCATTAACAGCGGACACCTTCTGGAATGCGTACCTTCATCCTCAACAACACTTAAGTCTTTATCGCTGAAGTCACAGCTTTGCACAAAAGTATACTTTTGTCATTGAACTTGGGGTAAAGAATAATGTTCTTATTGAAGGCGATAATCTCCTTATCATCAAGTCTACCAAAGACACCTGGTCAATTCCTTTGACATTTTAGCTCATTATAAGAGACATTTGCATTCTTCATACCAAGTTTGGTAACTAGATCGTATAGTAAGAAAAATGTAACACCCCATGTCAACATAAGCCCAGTAGTAGATAATGTCCTCACTAAGCCCTAGCCTGTAAGGATTTGCTTTGGTGTAATTATCATTACTTGTTCAATAATGATATACATTTCTTCAATCTTGAACAATGATCAACTTATCCAAGTGATCCTAAAACATAAGAATAAACCAATAAAGTTTAATCTAATGCTAGAAGCAACCAAAATATGCAAGAAAAGCCAAAATTAAGCAATAATGACATTTTACACGCAAACACAAAAATGTAATAAAACGTTATTAAAACCAAATAAAAATATATCAAAACTATGAAAAACTAACTAGAAATTCCTAGAAAAAAAGTGACATAATTGACACTTATCAGCAAGCATTTTATACCGAGATAGTTTGTTATCCCTGTTTATCCCTTTTCATATATTTTATTTTATTTTTTGACAAGAACATATAACAAAAACAACAATACAACAAAACACACATGACAACAACTACAATAAGTAACAAAGCCCCATCACACTTCACATGAGCTGAAAGTTTCTCATTTAGCTTCTTCTCTATCATTTGATGAGGGAATGGAATACGAGACTCATATGTTCTCAATGGAGCTTAGCTCTTCACTTCTCCCTCGTCTCTCTTTGAGGCACCCCCATCACTCATTTTTGACCTTCCTCTTGCCTCCTCACTCACTTCATTTTCAAACTAACTTTCATCTACCCAACAATCTCCCTCATCTCCCTTTTTGGCGACCTCTTCTCTCATAA